TGAAGACCTGAAAGGCTGACAATTGGCTTAGACTGACCCCAAAGTGAATTAGGGTCTGAAGATGGCCTATGGAGAGGCAGAGGGGAGGAGAACCTGACCATCTCTGGAGTGTCTGAAATATAAGAAGCCTGAGCCGGCAGCAGTGAGCGCACGTCACTAGAAGTGTTCAAGTGGGGCTAGAGATCGGGCATGAGAGGACTGCTCCGTCACTGACAGGCACCCACAGCCCCTCCACAGCTGCATTCCTGTGCCTCTGGCAGATGGGAACGACCGTCAGCAGAAAGCAAAAGCAGACATCGACAGTCCCGTGGGATGGGTGAAAGGAACAGTGGGCATTTTGAGAGGCCGGTCTGCTGGGATCTGACAGGAAAAGATTCAGCATTGCTCAGAAACAGTTCACAAAAATGAAAACCGGTGCCTAAAATGTTTAGTGTTTGAGCTGTGCTGCCCAGCTGAGTGGGAGGCCCACCCGTTTCTTGGGAACACTGAGGTGCTGAGGCAGGGAGAACAAAGGCACTCAGAGATCAAGCAGGCGGACCCCGCGACCCCCAGTCCTCTAGTGGCAACCTTCTCATCCCTGGAGGGCAGAGCACTTCTGCGACTCACTTCCGGGCAGCAGTCAGCAGCCACAACAAAGCTGGCCGGGGCAGAGATGTTCTCCAAGCCACTCACCTGATCCCCATCAGCAGCCAAAGTTAAAGGCAGGCTCCACCTTACAGGGAAGAAAATCAGGTTGCTCACTACTTGCTGAATGTATGAACCAGGGAAGCAGCACGTGCATGGTTCTGGGGGAACCACAAATAGTCTAGTGTGCAGGCTGCATTCCTCCAGTCCGCTCCTCCTGCAAAACTCACCCAGCATTTTGACTCCACATGCTGAGACTCCAGGGCATCTAGAGAACAATCTGGCGCCTCAGCAACAGGGACAATATGTAAGGCCTTCTTCTCTCATGTGTAGAGGTGCTGTTACTGGAGTGCTAAATTCATAAGAAATCTCCACACATTTTCACCTCCATTTAAATCCAGTGAAAATAACATTTAAAGCATTAATACTTCAGCTGTGCGAAGACAGTGCCAAGAGGATAGCAACTCCGCACTCAAACAGGACAGGCAGCTGAGTGCCCAAGATCAGTGACAGAGGGGAGGTGACAAGGAAATGGACTGAGCACAATGGGAGCCAAGTTTCTCACTGCCCCAGAGAGGGGCTGGAAACATGGAAAGGGGCAGCAAGCAGGCACGCTGGTGTTGGATCAGAATTAAAGGTGCCTGTGTGAACTCAAGTTTTCGACTATATACAGAAATACATACGTAAACGTGTGTGCGTTAGGTTCTATGAGCCTAGACAGATGGCTTGGGAGCAGTGAGACCCCAGCAGCTATGAGCACAAGTAGCATGAAGTTTGGTTTCTAAACACTCTCTATGAAAGGGAACCAGAGCCCCTTGAAGAAATGGTAACTTCCAGGGATGGGGCACAGAAAGAACAAGAGCCTGGAATATATTGTTATGCCAGAAAGCAAGGAAGTACTCAAGGAGACTGGAAACTGACAGGAGAACACGCCAAACACAGAGCTGGCTTTAAGAATGCACACATCGGCAAAATCTGGAAAAATTCGAGCATCAAAATGGTCCTATTGGATTATGTAAGATTGAATAAAAGAGGAATCTGAATCCATAGAGAAGCAAATTATAATTGGGGGAGAGGGATGTCAGAATACAGAACATGAACTAATAAATGTAGAAGTGGAAATTATGTAATCTGAAAATTACCACTTGGCAACCATCTTCATCATAACCCAGGCAAGGAATATTAGTGGATAGTAATTTTGATGAGAAGATATTTACAGTATAAGAATATCTCCCCATAAAGTAGGTATTACATACAAAGGGACAGACAGTGACTGTCCAGTGAAGCTTGGCAGACACCACCCTCCTTCAACACTCAGTGAGCACTGTCCCCCCTCAGGATGCAGTGAAAGAGCACAACAGCACTTCTACGGCACTCCTTCCAAACATGTCTAACTTGAGTCACGAGGCAACACCAAGCAAACGGAGGGGCATCCTATAAGACAACTGTCTTGTAGTCTTAGAAAAGCATCATGGTCCTAAGAAAGAGTACGGGCTGAAGGAGACTAACTAAATGCAGCGTGTTAATCTGGATTGGACCCTTCTGCTATGAAGGGCATTACTGGGTCAACTGCAAAATTTAAATGGTTTTGGGGCAGGGGTGATGGTAAATGGGAGCTCTTTGTACTGTTCCGGCAACGTTTCTGTACGTTTGACATTAAGAATGAAAAAGTTGTTAAATGCTCTTTGCAAAACTGTTAAAAAAAATTGTAACACCAAAGTTAATGATATATAAATATTTTACAATTAAAGCAGTAATGAATTTGTTAAAATATTTAACTTTCCTTTAGATAATTTGCTTAGAACTGGAGATAATATAAAAATTAGTCAAAATGCTATCAACAAGCAGGAGCAGGCCTGACCAAAAAGAAATATGTAAACAACCCAAAACAACAACAAAAAAAATCATAAAGTAGACTAAAATTCAAGGAAGTTGCAAAAACCACTCCAGGGTTCACAAAATCACTCAAAAACAAGAACCCTAACCCCAAGCTGTTCTAAGGCATTGTGTCACCAGCCCCACACATTCTCATCCAATTTTTAACCTATCAGTTTTGAATTAACATATCAGTGTTCTTCTAATCTGCTATTGCAGGCAAATAAAACCCAGATTGGCTCCTATAATTTATAGCCAAACTTTAAGTACATTTTGAAACCATTTTGGACTTTGTTATAGGGGTAGAAACTGTCAATAACCCAAACCCAGGATCCATACCAAACATTCTTTGTGCCTTAAAGTGGCTACTATGTGGGCAGTAACTAGCCACGGTAGATGCGTGCTTAAGTGTGGACGCACTAACAGGCAGGAGGCCTATCTAGAGAGTGTATGTGTAGGATAGGCTTCCCAGCATTTTCATCACAGCAAACATAGTACTTGTACAAAACACTGGGGGTGGGGTGTGGTGGTGGTGGTGGGGCAATATAATGCGGGTTGGGGCTAGGGTTGAGGCCAGGTTCCTCAGGTGCCCTGAAGACCATCTCATGAACTGGAGAGGACTGTTATCCAATTCATCCCGAGTCAGATGTAAAGAGTAGGTGACAAGGACATAGATCAACAAGAACAGAAAACTGTGTGAGACATGAGGCTGGAGTCTAGGAGACTATTTTTCTAATTTGTACTAGTAAAAGACAAGTTACACGGTTTCTATTAAAGGGTCCATTACTATTCAATGGTATTTTCAAGCTCCCTAGCAGAGACCATGTTCCCATTCATTTTGGAATCTGCAGCAGGACACATAAGCAAGTTCGTCATCACTTATTTCTTTGGTGCCCCAGTGTCCTCTCCACAGTGAAAGCCCTACTTGAGGACCAGTTTTCCAAATCTAACCTCATGACAGGGAAGGCCTTTTACAACCTATTATCACCACTGCAGTCCCTGTGGTTTCCAAAACATTGCAGTAATGCATCTTTTTCCTAGCAGTCCAAGCCTTCCCTCTCTGCCCTTCCCCACTACCTACACAGTTCTGGAAACTAGTCTGCCACCCAAACAGGTCCAACTGCTACACTTATCCCTCTAGTGCTCCACCCACTCTTTTTCCAGCTGTTCAAACTGCCCCAACTCTGATCCAAGGCCCAAAGACTCATCTGGCTTTCTGTGTTCTGACTGATTCATCACTCTGCCAGGTGCTTTTACAGTCTGAATTTCATTATCTTCTGGTAAGAGCAAGAAAGTGTAGTAACAGCAAATAATAATAATTTCAAGACACCACATACATAGGCCAGCACACCAGGCACACAATGTTCCTTCCTTTGTCAGTGCAGATGCGGGATGGTACCAATCCTCTGGAAAGAACCTGTGACAGTAACTAACACATCAAACTGAAGCCAAGACCGGAAGTCAAGAGGCCAAGAATGCCAAAAAGGATCAAAAAGCATCACATAATTTAACATATGATGGGCTAGCTGCAGTTTAGAACAGGGATGGCAAGCTTTTTCTGCAGAGCCAGGCAATAGTTATTTAGGCTCTGCAGGCCTTAGCCTCTGTTGCCAACCATTCAACATCAAACCTCCATAGCACAAAAGTAGCTATAGATAATATATACAATGAGCATGGTCGTGTTTCAATCAAAGTATTTATGGCCCTGACCAGTTTGGCTCAGTGGCTAGAGTGTTGGCCTGTGGACTGAAGAGTCCCAGGTTCAATTCCGGTCAAGGGCATGTACCTTGATTGCGGGCACGTGCCTGGTGGGGGGTGCGCAGGAGGCAGCTGATCGATGTTTCTAGCTCTCTATCCCTCTCCCTTCCTCTCTGTAAAAAAATCAATAAAATATATTAAAAAAACAAAACTATTTATGGACACTGAAATTTGAATAATTTTTATATCAAAGAAATTTTAAGCCATTTAAAAATGTAAAGACAGATCATTCTTAGTGTACAGAACATTCAACGGGCAGTGAGCTATGAGCCACGTTTGGCTCATGGGCTGTAGTTTGCCAGCCCATGGCTTAGAACTAAGTGAAACAAAATGGACAGGGGAGGTCAACTGAAGAGACGGATGAGCCTTGTGGTGGGGAACTCACCAAAGTGCAGACTTGGTCAGGAAGCCCTTACTCCCTGAAGCTGCTGGCATTTGGTTGAATATTTTGTAGCAGTCTTAGGCTGGCTGCTTTAGGACATGAAGTATGGGGAAAATGGGGATAATGAAATCTCTTAAAGTCCTCATGAAATTTGATTGACACTCCATTAGGTATCCCATTTCTATACTGATGCTTTAGTTGAGAAAACAAACAGGAGACCCAATAAAACCGATCTAGTGCCTGGTCTTCTACATGCTGCCTTCACCATTCACTGAAGAAAACAGGATCGGTGACAGAGGCATTGGTAACTTCCAATCTTAGATTTTATGGCAAAATCATTTAAAAAATGAGAAATGCAATGTTGGATGTATTGAAAATATTTTATAATTGTCTAGAATCCTAGCCTTCTAGTACAGGAAAAAAATTATTCGATGGAACACTTCGGTATTTTTTAAACAATGTAAAGACATGTTTGACTTGGGGATGGCAGTAAGATGTTAACAAATATAAACGGTAAGCTTCCTCACATTTTCCACAGAGCAACTAAACAATAAAAACATTTCAAGGAATAGATGACATACCTCAAATGCGAAATTCCAAAGTCAAATAGGTCACTTACATTAAGAGATTTACCAAAACTGTTCGCAAATTAAAAGACAACAAAAGGTCACAAAAAGCCTATTTCTTTCATAGTGTTTTGTCTGGTTCTTTAAGCAGATAAACAAGGAATGGTCAAAACGGCCTGAACTGTCCTCCGGTAATCATTAATCCCACTATTTGTAGTTTTGTTGTCCAAGGACAAAAGCTCCATGCCACCAACTTCTGCTGTCACTTTCCAGAGTAAGGAAGAGGTTGCTGTTGTTTTTTAATCCTTTTTCCAGTTTTCGCTATCTGTGAGCAATCAGGTAGCAGATAAAATGTCATAAAATAAAGTATTCCATGATCCAACCAGAAATGCCACCCCTCTTCCCAACTCCTCTGCCTTGAAAGAGGAACATATTTACAAATTCTCATTTTATTCTCCTGAGATATTTTGCATGATTCAGTATAAAACATACAGGTGATACAAAGTCCAAAGGCCTGTTGAGTTTACGGAATAAACACATGAAGATTAAGTCACATGATTTAACATTGTGGGGAGAAACCATGATTTCATTTACTTTCAAATGAGATAGGTTATGAGTGCGTGATGTCAAAGCTTAAAAGTCATCACCAAACGATGCTAAGGATTATTGCAAGAGATTACGCAGGGAGAAATCTGTGCAAATTCATCTTCTTAACTCAGTATCAGATGGTGGAAAAAGAATTTCTTTCAAGTCTTGTTTATAGTCAGGAAAATAAATTTGGAAAACTGAACAAGTAGACATCTGCCCCCTCTTTATGATTAAATAACAATGCCAATGAAGAAGATTCCAAAGAAAAACTGAGATGAAAAAATCCAAATAAAAGCCAACATTGCTATTAAGAGTTTTCCTTTAATGTGCTACGAGATATCTTGATTGTATATTTTCCAAAGTACTTTTCCAGCCTCAACTCCCAACCCTTCCAAAAGATTTCCTCAGTCTTTCAAATAAAAGATGCTGGATTATAGTTCTGTCCACCTTCTCTTTTTGAAAGCAATTTAACAGCCATACATTCTTTTCTAATAAGGAAAAACACTTACAAATATCAGAAACCCAGATTTAAAACATTTGCATTAATTTTGAACTGAATCAGCCTTTGTGGGTTTAAGAAAGGCAGCAGTTTGAACTCACAACTTGGTGACAAGCATGGTTCTGCTGAGGGAAGGGACAAAGGAGAGTGAGCGCTGCATTTCTCCATTGGTCCCAAAGTGCTAATTCCACAAAGGGACACATCAAAAGCAAACATGCAATGGTGGTTTTAAAACTTTTACTGCAATATAACAAGGAAGTAAACAGTAATTAGACACCTACCAATTTTCCCCCAAACAAACCAAAAAAATGTAAACAGGAAATAAGTCTGCCTATACTTGTACAGCTTCTCAAATCATGTCAGAAGGGTCTCACATTCACTGATCAAGAGATTTTAAAATAGCAGTATTTTCACTTTAAGAAAAGGTTCCCCTTCTTCTTCACCCCAACCCAAGTATTTAACATGAAAGAATGGGCTTTCTTGACATTAATTTTATACTTATTTGGAGCAGCAACAATAACCATCAATTATTTGGCATCTCTTCGCAGTTGTTCCAAATTTGTTTCAATTTCATAAAGCCATTATCCAGTGTTGCCATGAAATAGAGACTGTAGATTCTAGGTAGCAAAGATTCTTTCTGAAACCAATGTTAAGTCAAAGAAATATAAAGCAGGGCATTACACTAAATTTCTGGATCTAGTACACTAAAAAGAGTGAAACCTAGGAAGTTACCTACTGTTTTATACAAGAGATAGAGACCTGCAAAAGCTGCTTTTTGGTTGTCTATTTTACACACTGTGTGGATCTGCAGCATCTGCTAATTGAGCAGACATGCACTGTATTTATCCTAGATCCCTCCCTCCCACCCCCAACAATCTACTACCTTATACAGGTATTGTGGATATGAGCCCAAGTCATCCCAGACAATCCAGTGAACAAAGTTAGTGTAATGCACTGGTGTGAAGTGTGAAATTAAAAAAAAAAAAAAAAGTCCCTTTCAATCTTCATCAAAGTTTTGCTGTAGAAGAAAATTGGCAGCCAAGTTCTCATTCTTCTCACAAGCAAAGTATGCTTGTATCACAAGTCCTTCAGGAAATCCTAATGCCTTTAACTGGAAGAAAAGAAAGAAAACATATCATTCCAGCACAGCACTACTGTAAAAGACATAAAAGCTCTTGAGAATTCTACATGAATCCATCCCTATCCAGCCCAACGGATCAAATGGAACTTACACCCTTTCCTTTAACAACCACCTACAAAATTATTTGTTCCTAGTTAAAGCTATTCGACTAACAGATACTTTACTAACAACTACTGGCATTAACACTAAAAATTAGCTGCTTAACTATGGCGATTTAAACATAAGAAATTTGTAAATTAAATGGCTTTTAGTATTTGAGGGGTGACGATAAGGATGAGAACAAATGGAAATAAGTTTAACTACTTCACCTAATTATTTGTAAAGAAAGTCATATCCTTCATTAGGGTCAAATAGCATTCTCAATCTCCTTGCCTTATGAAACACTCCATACTAGAAAAATGGGTGATCAATTATTAGTAATATTACATAATATTTCTGAGATAAAGACATATGGTGTTCTATTCTTATCTGCTTAATTTTTAGAGCATTATAAGTGGTGACACAAGCCACTTTCGTTTTCCTAATCTATTAGAAATCACTTGTAACTCAGTAATCACTGCTTTAACAGCCCTGAAAAACAAAGGTCAATGATCTCATTCACTAGATACTGTAAGTTTGTCAGCCAATGTTAAGAACCTTCTTCTAAACTGCCCCAATCAAGAAATGACCTTAAAAAACTGGGCACAAGTCCCAGTTCAGCATGAATATTCATCTGTGGAAGGAGAAGAACTTTAAATGATTTTGTTACCTAGATCTTATTCAGATTAAAGATGGGCTAGCTGAAATAAAAGGTAGAGAGGGCAACAATCCAACTATAAGCTTCTATAAGATACACACTTTAGATTCAAAGACACAAATATACTGAAAGGAAAAGGATGAAAAAAGACATATACAATGCACAGTTACAAAAATGGAGCTGAAGTGGCTATATTAATATCAGACAAAATAGACTTTAAGATAAAAATTGCTACTAATAACAAAGGACATTTTAGTATGATAAAACATCAGAAATACTTCATTATACACATATATAAGCAAGTTCCAAAATTCATGAAACAAAAACTGACGGAATTGAAGGGACAGAGAAACAATTCAACAATAGTTGGAGACTTCAATATCCCCACGTTCAATAATGGATGCACCAACTAAAAAGAGGATCAAAAAGCAAACCGAGGACTTACCAACACAATAAACCAACTAGACCTAATGGACACTTACAGAACATTTAACACCAGAAGATTGCACGTGTTTCTCAAGTACACATGAACATTTTCCACAAAGACCATGTTAGGTCATAAAAGAAACCTCAGTGAATTTTAAAGGATTAAAATCATACAAAATGTGCTCTGACCGCGATGGAATAAACTTAGAAATCAATAGTGGAAGGAAATTTGAAAAATTCATAAACATGTAGAAATTAAAACAAATCCCAAATAACCAATGGATCAAAGAAGAAATCACAAAGGAAATTGGAAAATACTTTTTAACTCTCCTTTCCTCTCTGTGAAATAAAAAAATATTTAAAAAAGGAAGAAATTAATTTCAAAGCAAGCAGAGAAATAATAAAGATCACTGAGAAAATAAATAAAATGGAAACTTACAAAAACAACAGAGAGACTTAACAAATCCAAAAGTTAGTGTGTGTTTTTTCTTTAGATCAACAATACTGACAAAACTTTAGCTGACAGGGAAAAAAAAGAAATCTGAGGATTAAAATTACTAAAATCAAAAATGTGAAAACATTTCTATTTTTTATAGAAAGAAAAACTATTAATAAGGAAATATTATGAACAAATTAGATAACAGATTAAAATAGACAATTCCTAGAAAGACAACAGAAAAAAACAACAACAAAAACACAACCACCAAAATTGGCTCAAGAAGAAACAGGAAATCCAAACAGGCCTGTAACAAGTAAAGAGATTTAGTGAGTAATTTCCCAAAAAGAAAAGCTGGGCCCAGATTACTTTACTAGTGAATTCTATCAACCATTTAAAGAAAAATTAACACCAATTTTTCATAAACTCTTCTAAAGAGATGATAAGGGAACATTTCCCAAATTCATTTAATTACACTGATACCAAAACCAGACATAGACACAAGAAAACTATAGACCGATATTTTGTATGTAGATCCAGAAATACTCAACAAAGTACTAGCAGACCAAATCCAGCAACATAAAAAAGGGTTGTACACCATAACTGAGTGGGATTTATCCCAGAAATACAAGGTTGCTCCAACATACAAAAATCAACCAACATAATAAAGCATATTAACAGGAAAAGGAACAAAATTACACGATGATCTTAATAAACACACAAAAAGCATTTGGCAGAATCCAACACCATTTTGTGATAAAAATACACAACAAACTAGGAGTAGAAGGAAACTTCAACCCAATAAAAGGAATTTAATAAAACCCATAGCTAACATCATACTTAATAATGAAAGACTGAAATGTTTTCCCTAAAGATGCAGATTAAGACAAGCAATATTGGGTCTCATCACTTCTCTTCAACAATGCACAGGAGGCTCTAGATAGAGCAATTAGTCACACAAAACAAATAAATAATGCAGCTATATTAGAAAAGAAGCAAAATCATGGCTACTTGCAAGTGATATCTTTCATACAGAAAATCCTACAGAACACACCCAAATGATCAGAATTAATACATGAGTTCAGGAAAGTTAGGAGATATAAAATTAAATAAATTGTCTTTCTATATAACTAGCACTGAATAATTCAAAAATGAAATTAAGAAAATACACTTATAATAGCATCACAAACAATAAAAATACTTAGGAATAAGTTTAATACAAAAAGTACAAACTGAAGACTATAGAACATTTCTGAAAGATATAGAAAATCTAATAATAAATGGAAAGAAATCCCATGTTCATGGCTTGCTAAGACTTAATACTACTAACATGGCAATACTCCTCAAACTGATCTACACAAAAACACAGTATCTATCATAATCCCAGCAAGTTTTGGGGGAGGTGGAGAGAGGGAAGGCACAGAAATGAACAACTTGACCCTAAAATTGATATGGAAATCTTAAGAAATACAAAATTGGAGCACTCACACTTCCTGATTTCAAAACTTACTACAAAGCAACAGAGTAAGTAATCAAGACAGTGAGGCCCTGGTTGGTGTGGCTCAGTTGATTGGAACACCGTCTGCACACTGAAGGGTCATGGGTTTGATCCCCAGTAGTGTGCATATGGCACACAACCGTTCAATGTTTCTTTCTCTCTCTAACAATTAGTACAAACATATCCTCAGGTGAGGATTAAAAAAAGAGAAAGAGTGAGGTACTAACAGAATAAACATATAGATCAATGGAACAGAACTGAGAGCCCAGAAATAAACCCTCACATTTATTATCAATTAATGTTAATAAGAATGCCAAGACAACTTAATGAGGAAAGAGCAGTATTTTTAATAAATGGTGCTGGGGCAACTGGATAGTCAGATGCAAAAAAATGTAGCTAGCTACCATAAACAAAAATAACTCAAAATGGGTCACAAATCTCGACAAGTATAAACTCTTCAGAGAAAAGACAAAAGTAAATCTTTTAACTTTGTATTAGGAATGCTCTCTTAGTATGAATTAAAAGCACAAGCAACAAGAGAAAATTTCTCCAACACAGAAATCAAGAACTGATAACCCTAACCTCAAAAAAAAGTTGCTATGGAACAACTGAGGCAGGTGTCATTTACTCAGAGGGGAAAATATCAGCCTGATATATAAAGTATCTTTTAGGAAATACCTAATTATAAACTTTAAACACTTGATATGTTTGTATCATAAACAAGGACAAATTACTTTCCAGATGATTTTCCAAGTTAAAATGCACTATATTGAATTTCCATCTCAGAACACCTTGTGAAACAGGCAAGTACTAGGATTCCTTATTTATAAATGTTAACAATGGGGCCAGAGAATGAATGACTAGTCATAGTATCATAAAAACCAGGTTATTACAGTGCCATGATCTACACTGGTCACCCTAGTAAGATGAGAAGAGATTCAGGATAGCAGGGTCTGATATTTACTGTATGTCATTTTTTATAAAATATATATATATATATATATATATATCCCTTAGATTTTAGTAACAGTAGTGAAGTTAAGAAATCTGAAATATAAATCTAAAAATGAATCATCTTAAATTGGGCACATTCCTAAAGATCATTTTCTGCCTGAATTTTAAAACATCAATGAAATTTTTAGTTTAATATATTTACAACTATTTCATGCTAGAATGGTACTCATTGCTGGTCCCTGGGCTTCACCAAGGACAAGGTGGGAGAGCAGGCCTGAGAAGTCTGTCTTTCCTGCAATCCCCCCCAGGGGCAATGCTCTATTCCGCTCTAAAAGAACTCCACCTGTGATGGAAATAGATCAGTGCTATTCAATGTAGTGGCCACTAGCCCCGTGTGAACCCTGAGCATTGGAAAGGTGACTGTTTTGTCTGAAGAACTGAATTGTTAGTTTTACTTAAACTCACCCTTTCTATAGCTTCTTTTTCCTGAGGCGTTACTTGAATGTAGTTCATGTGACCACTTCCAGCTTCTGCAATTCCTCCACTGCCTCCTCCACCCCCTCCTCCTCCTCCTTGACCACCAGCTTCTTGAACTGGTTCATTTAACATCTGAATAAAATGCTCCTGGTGTTGGCTAATTTGCTGTGATTTGAAGGACAGAAAAAAATAATACATTGATATAAAGCATCTTCAGGAAAAAAAGAATTCTAAATACAAATAAGAGAGAAGCTATAACTTTTGCAACTGTAATATTTTAGATTGATTCTAGATTATTATGTTTTTATGGGGATATGATGATTCCTTGCACATTATTAAAGAAGCTCAGTTCTTCTGAGTGAGATAAACAGTGAAGAATTAAGAGAATTCAAATTCTCTTTCATAAATGTATGCTGTCAAAAAATAAAAGCAATACTAAAAAAACCACTTGCTGACGGTAAGAGGAAAGAGAACTTACATATATCTTCCACACTAGCAGGCAGTACAACGATGTACCAAACTCAAATACTTTGTGACCTAAGCATTAATTAAGCCCACAAGTATGTTTCCTAAGGGCGGAGCTCTACTAATAAGCTTGGGAAAAAAGACAAATTAAAAGGTTTCTTTGCTGAAGAGTTTCTCAGATTTTTTAATAAGGTGTTTCCCAAATTTATTATTTGAGCAACTAAAGTTAACCCAACCTCCATCCCCCAACTCTTTTTCTAGTACATCTATCTATGCAGCATATTCTACTGAAAGTAGCTTAGAATGGTTTAGAGTTGGTGGAGGGGAAGGGGGTGTTGATGGTCTTTTTCAAAATGGGATACATAGTCACCTGCAGTAATTGAGGATTTTCTCGACCTATCTGTTGTAGCAATGCTGGAAGCAGGGAAGGATTCTGTTGAATAATTTGTCTCATCTGTTGAAACTGAGGTTGATTCCGTAAAAATTCAAGGGGATGTCCTAAAATACACATAAAACATTGTTAAACAAAAGTACTGATTACATATACCAAGAATTGGTTCAAACATAATTTAGACAGAGACACTGAAAGGAACAAATAATACCGAGGACGTGTGCTTTGTATGCTCCCTATCAAAAATAAGAAGTACTAAAAGCTGTTCCTGTTGCTCAAAAGTTATTAAGAAAAATATATAGCAGGACTAAGAAAAAACCCCCCTAAACAATCTGAGATTGAATTCCTGGGAAATTTGTAACAGGGGTGGACAAAAGTATGTTTACAATTGTTTGTATGGAAAAATACAAATTAATAATAATACAAGAATAAACTGTGGCCTAGATGGTTTGGCTCAGTGCAGAGCATCAGGGTTCCAAGTTTCGATTCCCGTCAAGGGCACATGCCCAGGTTGTGGGCTTGATCCCCAGTGGGAGGTATGCAGGAGGCAGCTGATCAATGATTCTCTCTTCTCATTGATGATTCTATCTCTCTCCCCCTCTTTCTTCCTCTCTGAAATCAATAAAAATTTATTTTTAAAAAGAATAAGAGTATATTTCATATACTCACACTGTAAACCTACTTTTGCCAACCCCTGTATTTAATAATTAAAAGTTAAGAGTTCAGGTTTGCAGATCAGATGGAGTTTTATTAACACAAACTGAATTATTGTTGGAAGATTTTTTTACTGCCATCAAATTTTAAATATTTATAATCTATAAAAACTTGAGATAAGCCACAAGACAATCTAGTAATAATATTTAGAACTCTTTCGTCCAAGATCCCTTGATAATAATAAATATTAATAATGCCAAATAAGGTATAAGATCTAGAATTTGTGACTTTTGTGTGTGTGTGTGTGGGGGGAGGGGATGGTATTTGTCTGGTTATGCTATACAAAATAAAGAATTGTTTTGAGGTTACTAATGAATAATGAGAATATTTTGTATGTTATTTCCTAAATTTTAATTCAAGACAATCATTCAAATTAAAGTGACCACATAACACAGATATTTATTCTTCTTTGTGTAAGATCAGTTTTATAGATGAAGAAAATGAGACTCAGAAACTAAGTTATTTAATAATTGCTGGTGAATGGACAGCACCCTCAATCTGAATCAAAGCCGTGCCTCCTCTTTCCATTCCCATGTTAATTCTCCAGAAATGACAAGTCTGTCCTGTCCTCTGGGAGACTGTACACAAAGTGCTTAGAAATTTTTATCAACCAGAACTGACTGCCATAATTAGAACTAGAATATGCATTAAAGAATGGCCTCTTCAAAATTAACAGTTTGAATACTTTCTCAATACACAGAAGAAAGAATGAAGGAGAACACTAATTCCTGGGCCTACCAAAGGCTCCAGGCCTTGCTTTGTAGTCAAACTTTTGGCAATGGAAATGTGGGTGTTGGCCAGTAGACACTTGAATTCAAGTTTGCTTTCACCTAGAGACACAAGATTTTAAACCTTTCGAGGTTTTAATTCCTTGGTTGTATAATAACCACCAAGCTACCACTGGTTTTGGAATTATACATACTCGATGACATTTATAAGGAGAGAAAGAGACATGGTGAGTAAACCATTTGCAATGGTTTCAGAATATAACAAGGAATGCAAACTGGCAAATATCTCTTCCTTAGAATATGCTCTCTACCAAAATGGCAGCAATGATGCGGAATATAAGCAAGAATATCTTAGGCCCTAACCGGTTTGGCTCAGTGGATAGAGCATCGGCCTGAGGACTCAAGGGTCCCAGGTTCGATTCCGGTCAAGGGCATGTACCTTGGTTTTGGGCACATACCCAGCAGGGAGTGTGCAGGAGGCAGCTGATTGATGTTTCTCTCTCATCGATGTTTCTAACTCTCTATCCCTTTCCCTTCTTCTCTGTAAAAAATAATAATAATAATTAAATATATTATTTAATAAAAAGAATCTTAAGATTTATCCAAATGCTCTGGGAATAAACCTCACCTCAAAATACTTCAGATTAAATTATTTTACAGTACAAATTTAGAACCATTTCCTCCCCATCTAAAAGCTTCCACTTTACCTCCAGAACTTGTTGTTGTAGTTGTTGCTGTCGTAGTTGCTGCAGCTGCAGCCACTGAAGACTGAGGAGGCCCAGTAGTAGCTACCGGAGGGGGATCAACCACAGCCTGACTTTCTCTGTCTCCAGGAATTCCCTAAAATACAATTTCCAAGCTTTAAAATATTATACATACAGAGTAAAAGACTTACTAATATATTTAATATCCTTGTCTAATTTCCAAAAGCATCAAAGAACTGTATGCTTCAATTAAAAGTAAAGGCTTAAGCCCTAGCTAGGTAGCTCAGTTGGTTAGACTGTAGCGGTCGACAACTGGTGGCTCTCGGACCACTGGTGGTCCATGAGGTCCGAAAGGTCTGGGTTAGAGCATCTGATATCACAAGGTTGCAGGTTTAATCCCCAGTCAGGGCACATACAAGGAGCAATCAATAAATGCATATATAAATGGAATGACAAATCGATGTCTCTCTCACCACCCCCCTTCCTCTCTATAAAAAAATAAAATAAAATAAAATAAATAAGTAAATGGGGGTGGGAGGGAGCAAAGGATCAAGATTTACCTGAAAACTACATATATTTAAATTAGGTTAGAAATGGCCTGAGTGTGGTGCGGAACAGCGGTCGCCAGCCTTTTGGACCTCACAGACCACCAGTGGTCTGTGGACCACTGGTTGGCAACCCCTGTGTAGAAGAACCTACATTTCTGTAATATAAGGCAGCAATGGCACTGTCCAACAGAACTTTCCATGATAATGGAAATATTTTCTATAGCTCTGCTGTCCAATAAAATACCCATTAGCCAGCCATATGTAGCTACTGAGAACTTGAAATGTAGTTGTTACTCCTCCACCCCATGGTGATTATCAATACGATTCCTCAATTCCAAACTAATTAATAAAATGAACTGCTAGCATTTTAAAGACTCTCATCAAGAGGACAATGGAAAAGAACATTCAAAAGATTAAATGATATGCTAAGAAAGGGTTTGGTGAATCTCACATGCAAATGAGTATGCAAATAACTGGTGGAAGCAGAGCATTTGTTGGCTCATGACTCTCCTGAGGAAACTACTATCTGAACCGGAGTTTCTAACAGAAGTACAAGCTGGAAAGAAAGGAATGGGTTAAACTGTGGGCTGCATTTCCCATAGTTAGTTTAGGATCATGAATGATATTTAGGGCAAATTAATACTTTGATGATACTTCAAAACACCAGACAATTCTAACATAAAATGCTAAGACTAAAAAACAAACAAAAAAAACCTAATGTTATTCCAAAATTCTTTGCTGTTACTTTAGTCTATGCCACATCTATAAAACTAACAGACATTGTCATAAAATATCAAGGGTTTCAGTCCATGCTCACAACAATCTATTTCTCAAAAACCTTTATGCTAGTAACAGACAATAACTTACTTGAAATTCCCTCAGTTGCTACCAACTAGAAACAAGCTAACAATTCAAATGTCAACAGAACCACGTAAGCAACATGATATGTTAAATTAAATGCACAACATTATGTCCGGTAACAGTGAATGAAAGGGGAAGATAGTGAATTAAAGATCTATGATCGAAAACTTTTCCTAATCTCTTGCAAAAATCTGTGATTCAACTTGTCCAGGTAAATCAGATTATCTGAATGTTTTAAGTGAAATCTCCTAATTTCTAAAATTTCTACATATTTATTTCATACAGTAATAAAAAATTATATAAGCAATTAATTAGGCTTCTAACAACTTGAAACTCCTGCTTTAAATAGTGCATCTAGGATTACATTGGCAGTAAAAAAAGCTACTAAAATGTTAGATTAGATTACATAAAAAAGAAATCTTCCTCTATATCCCCAAACACAACTATCAGCCTTTGAGGATGACATAATTGGGGTAGAATGATCTACTCCAAATGGATAGTTAACTTTACAACTCAGCCATTTAGTAACTAAAAATCCTTTCAAAATCTTTTAAAGAGGTCATTTTATCAACACAAAACATTAACATACTAAGAAAAAGCATGGTGTAAATTATCTAGGATATATTATTATTCTCCTGTGAATTGTTACTGTTCCTTCAAATCTTTGTTTCTCTGAGATTTTGGTCTTAAACTAGAACGAAGAAGTAAAATGTTTCTCACCATTAAAAGATACTCCACTGCTCGGTCAGGGTTGTTGAAACTGGCTCTCAGGGCTGCAATTACTTGCTCTCGTTCATAGCCCATTGACATGATCTCAGTTACCATATTCTCGTAAGACTGACCTGTCACTACAAAAAGTTGAGAGCAAGGTCGGAGGAGGGAAAAGAAAGAGAATATTTAATGCCAAACACTCTCCATACTTCTTGAATGCATACAATGTTTAGGCACTAAAGTGCTAGGAATATAAAGATGAACAACAGTATGAACTACAACATGTATGTGCTATGTCAGTGGTCGGCAAACCGCGGCTCGCGAGCCACATGTGGCTCTTTGGCCCGAGTGTGGCACTTCCACAAAATACCGCGCCCGCACGCACAATGCGATTGAAACTTCGTGGCCCATGCACATAAGTCGGTTTTCGGCCTGGGCGAGTCTATTTTGAAGAAGTGGTGTTAGAAGAAGTGGGGGGTGTCGGTCCGGACGATGGGAGATGCAGCGCAGGCCGGCCGAGGGATACGCGGGGGAGGAGCACGCGATTCATGCACGAGTTGAGTGAGCCAGTCAGTCAGGAGTACTCTAATTAAGTTAATAACAATGTACCTACCTATATAGTTTAAATTTAAAAAATGTGGCTCTCAAAAGAAATTTTAATCGTTGTACTGTTGATATTTGGCTCTGTTGACTAATGAGTTTGCCGACCACTGTGCTAGGTAAATAATGCCTCTCCACCCATGCCAATGCCCAGAACCTATGGATATGTTAGAGGACCTGTCAAAAGGGAAGAAAGGTTGCTTATCAGCTAAATAGGGAAATTAACTTGGATTATGTGAGTGGGCCCAACACAAGGGTCCTTAAAAATAGAAGGGAAGCAGATAAGAGGATCAGAGAAACAGATGTAAAGAAAAGGAGAGAAAGGCAGAATAAGAGATGCTATGCTGCTTTGATGATGATGAGCAAAGGGGCTATGAGCCAAGGAATGTGGGCAGCCTCTACAAGCTGAAAGGGCATAGAATAAATCCTCCCCTGGAGTCTCCAGAAAATAACGCAGCCCTGATTTTAGCCCCATAATTTAGTCCTTTGGTTTTTGTCCAGTGAGCCCCATGTCAGACTTCTAACCTATAGTACTATAAAGTAATAATAAATCTGTTGTTTTATACCACTAAGTTTGTGGTAACTTATTACAGTAGCAATAGAAAACTAATATAATATGTTTGATTAGTACAATAAAAATATAGGGTATTAATGTAGCACAAATATAGGATAGAATTAGCAGATCACACAGGACAGCGACGTGACTTTGAAAATAAGAGGAGCATTTCAAGCAATTAGCTCTGCCATAAGCTCAGTTTTCCTTTGACACCTTTTATTATCAAAGCAGAGGGGGAAAGGAGGTTAAAAGCTAGAAAGTTAGAATTTCAAGCACCACAGAAAGCTGGTACAATGAATCAATCCCTATCATTCAGTATGTCACTTTTACCTCACTTAAGCCACCTTTTCTTCCACTCATGTTCTGGGTACCATTCCCTTTCTTGTCTCCTCAAAGAACGGGTCTTTTGGTTATTTTCTCTTGTCCATCTTCCACCCTTCTCTCTCCACTTAAATACCCTGACCAGAAGTTAACTATGCCCTTGAATGTCATTCTAAAAACAAAAACATGCCTCCCTTCATCATATCTCAATTCCTCTTTCAAGAACTGGTCCATTTGTCTGTTCTCTCCCATTCACAGCCATAGGTGCCTGTACATACTGTGTCCATTTCCTCACATTCCACTCACTCCTAAACCAATACCACACATGACTTAGATTATCCCTCAGTATGTCCCATTACCTGTGATGTCCATTTCAATGAATAGCACCACTATCCATCCAAATACTTGAATCAAAAACCTCAGTGGTTTCAATTCCTTTTCCCCTGTTTTCACATCTAATCTATTAGCACATCTGGTAGGTCCCATTGTGGCAGGATAGTAAGAAGCTAGGAAAATCCCAGGGCAAGTGCAATGGGGAAACTGAGATAATAAAATTAAACAAGGCCAAACAGTTTGGGCAGCTTGTAGCCAGCTTGTGAATTGCAAGACCTTATCATACCTAACCAAGGACACTTGAGAGCAAATGGTTTATACACTCCTCCCTAACCAGAAAATACGTAGTTTAAGTCTTCCTGGCCTGGGAAAATAGAGAACAAAGACCCCATTAATGCCATTCGGGACAGCTGATAAGTCATGGTGCAGAGACACAAACACAAGCTGTCAGACTCTAGAGCCCCTACACCTAATCATGCTGTGTCTCTTAAAATTATGCTTCCTAATTAATCAAGTTGCATTTTGATACTTTTTAAATATTAAAAGTACAAAAGCTGCCCTAGCTGGTTTGGCTCAGTGGATAGAGCATCGGCCTGCGGACTGAAGGGTCCTGGGTTCGATTCTGGTCAAGGGCACATGCCTGGGTTGCAGACCCGATCCCTGGTAGGGGCATGTAGGAGGCAGCTGATCAATGATTTTCTGTCATCACTGATGTTTCTATTTTTCTCCCTCTCCCTTCCTCTCTGAAATCAATAAAAGAAAAAAAGTACAAAGGCTAATGACTCATAAAAAAAATTAGGGACAATGGATAACACAAGACAAGAGCTAAAGTAGTAGTGATGGCCCAGCCAGGGTAGCTAAGTGGTTGGGCACATGCCCAGGCCCAGGTTGTGGGCTCGATCCCCAGTAGGGAATGTGCAGGAGGCAGTCAATCAATGATTCTCTCTCATCACTGATGTTACTCTCTCTCTCAAATCAATAACAATATATTTAATTAAAAATAAAAAGAAGTAATGATGAAGAACCTTTGGACTTATCTTCTAGGTCACTATGAGCTGTGAAATGAACTAACAATGACATTACTAGATTTACCTTTTAGAAAGTCCACTATGGCAGAGAACAGGCCAGTTAGAAGCAGATAATTCAAGAATATCAGTAAGGAAAGGACATAAATGAAGGCAAATAAACGGCAGCAGAGACTTTGGGAAGAAGACTCCTGGTCTCACTAGACCAAAAGGCAGAGGGCCAAGGATGTGGATGATTATACAAGCAAGGAAGGGAACAAAGAGGAATCAGATGGCAGAATAAAACATGAGTCAACTGGAAACTAAGGAGTTGGTGGAGATTATAGTTTTTCTAGTTGGCAGTTTAAAGAATGAAAAAATGAAGGGAAAAACAAAATTGATTTTGATAGAATGGGTATGGAGAAAAGATGGAAAGACATTATTCAGTAGGTAAAATTAAAAGTTGGAATAAAAAGGCATTTCCACTGCAAGTACAATATAAGCAACAAGATATACTAGTAAATGGGAACCTACAAGGCTATAAGCTGAAATAAAGTCTAGAAGAAAATAAAGATGAAGTGTGAGACAGATTTTAGTAACATTTAATACCCATTTCAAAGATATTTTATAATACACAGGTCAAGCTTTTTTAAAATAACATTTAAAGTTCATCTGGAAAATAAAATGTATGTGCTTTAAGGAAAAAAGTACACTTGACTCTAACAGTACAATTTAAAGGATTCAATGTATACTTCTGACAACATGAATGGATCTAGAATGTATTGTGCTAAGTGAAATAGGTTGAACAGAAAAAGATAAATTCCATATGATTTCACTTAGATATGAAATCTGAAAAACAAAATAAAAGAACAAGCAAGACAGAAACAAGCTCATAGATCCAGAGAATAAATGGATGGTTGTCAGATGGGATGGGGATTAAAGGGTTGGGTCAAAAGGTGAAGGAATTAAGAAGTACAATTGGCAGTTACAAAATAGTCATGGGGATGTGAGTGGACATCCTATATAATAAAAGTGTAATGTGCTAAGTGACCGTTCATTCGATCATTCCACCAGTCGCTATGACACCCACTGTCCACCAGGGGGCAGGGATCAGGCCAAAACCAGCAGTCCGACATCCCCAGGGATATAGTAGTGAGTGAAGTGGGAGGTGGCCACGGAGGAGCCGGAGTGGGCCCCATGCTGCTCCCGCTCATCCCCTGCCCCTCCCCATCCTGGCCCTGCTGCTGTGGGAGTGCACTGACCACTAGGGGGCAGCTCCTGCATTTAGCGTCTGCCCCCTGGTGGTCAGTGCGCTTCATAGCAACTGGTCAAATGGTCACTTAGGTGGGTACAAGACTTACTGGGGGGAGATCACTTTGTAAATTATATAAATGTCTAGCGACTATGCTGTACACCTGAAACTAACATAATATTGAATGTCAAATCTAACTGAAAAATTTAAAAACAAGCCATCTTGAAAAAAAGGAGTCAATGTATGAAACATTAATTTACAAAGCTATTAGTAATTATAATTAAATTATCTAAATCAACTATTTAGCAACTTGATTATAAGCATCCATAACAAACACATTACCATGATCCAGAGAAATAAAAATTAAACCTCTTCCCTATCTCTTATATGGTTATTTACAATGTAGATACTTACCAAGTGCACTTGTTGCATCTTCAAAAAGATTTGACCGAGAAGAATCTCCTGATGTACTGTAAAAGGTTTTAGAAAATCATATCAGAAAGTATGTAAAATTTATATTAAAGTTTAGTAACTGTCTAATTTGTAGAGATTCTTTGATTTTTAATTAAACTTAAAAGTCTGGCTAAACCCTAAAGCTTTATCCATAACGTGTATGGCTTGGAAGAACTTTCAATCTTAATACTCATTCTGTTTTGCAAATCCATCATTTTAAATGTCCAAAGATTTAAAATAACATCCTCACAGATAGCTTACTATTTAAGGAAAACAAAAAAAGATAATGAACAACTATTCCATGAAAGAATTTACATAAGAAGTTAAATAATCTGTAAGTCAAATCACAGTAGAAATACCAAAAGAAGTACATAACTAGCACATATAGGAACTACATTAAGCTAGAAAGACCTGGAAAAGTCTTTACGTAGCGGAATTTAGTTAGCTCTTAAAGGTAAGTTTTGAACACAAAAACTGGAAAAAGAAGGCTTCTAAGTCAAGGAACACAGCACAGCATAACCAAAAAATGCAGAAGAGAGTTAAATCCAAGTTGTAACTGAAAGTAAACCAGTTTAAAGGGACTAAGTTTCTGTTGGGCAATTGCTGATGAGTCTGAAAAACAAAGTAGACAAAAAAAAAAAAAAAGATTATAAAAGACCATGAAGAGTAGGCTGAAGAAAAATAAACCTAAGTTTACAAAAGCGGTAAAGGTAGCTAGCAGTTAGCAGTTTAGATTAAAACATACAGATAAGACGACACACACTTATGCCTCTGTCCCAATTTTAAAAACAAACACAATATACTTCAGCTCTGTATGTAGCATAACAAAAGTAAGGGAACTACTTAAGTTTGAATTCAACTTTCTAAGCCTTGGTTTATCAATACAATGAGGTCAACAATAGTATCTATATATCCCAAAATATTGTGTACAGGGTTATTGCTGGTAAAGTGCTTAGCAGAGTGCCTGGGATGGTAATACCCAATAAGATTATTATAATTCTTTGGTATAATTTCTAAAGTATCTTCATTCACTAGACAGTGAAACTAACGTAGAAGGCAAAATTTCCCAAAGAAATATATACCCAGAAACTAATTCTTCTGCACAAAACCCCTGCCCAGAGACAACCACCACTACCAGTTTTTATAAAATAATCACTTGTGTCCTCTTTTGTATGTGTTTTCATTTAACTTAACAAGTATTCTATGTCAGCAAAACCACAACTATGGCAGGTTTTTCCAACAAGATGCAGTATTCCATTTACTTGACCAAATCAAGCTTTTATTAAGGAATTTTTAGTTTGGCTGCCAACATTTAAATTCTTTCTGTAGTCAAATTTATTAATTGCTCCCCCTTTATGACTTTTTAAGGTTACTTTTATTTTTCCTATGTTCTCTTCCAGTTTATGGTTTCACCTTTACATTCAATCTTTATCCATCTAGAATTTATTTTTGTGAATGTAAGGTCTGTAATCCACCCTCCAGAAGACTAGGCATTTATTCCAACAGCCTTTTTCCCACAGTCGTCTGAAATTACATCTTTATGGTATATTAAGTCCCTATGCATTTTAGTCTGTTTCAAGACAACTATTTCACTGAGCAGTCTTTTTAGTAAGAGCCATTCTAAATTGTTGTAATTGTTACTGTACATAATACATTTTACTATCTGGTAGGGTTAGCTTCCTTCACTATTGTTCTTTTACAGAATAATGTGTGCTGCCCTGGCTGGTTTTGCTCAATGGCTAGCGCATCAGCAGGCCAATGGGTCCCGGGCCCTGGTCAGAGCTCATGTAGGAGGCAACCAATTGATGTGTTTCTCCGTCTTTCCCTCTCTCTAAAAGTCAATGGAAAAATATCCTTGGGTGAAGATTTAAATAAACAATTTTTTAAAAAGGAATAATGTGTGCTATTTTTTTGCACATTGTTCCATTTTTTTAAAATATTTTTATTGATTTCAGAGAGGAAGGGAGAGAGAGAAATGCAAACATCAATGATGAGAGAGAATCACCGATTGGCTGCCTCCCACCACTGAAGATCGAGCTGCTACCAGAGCATGGGCGCTGACCAGGAATCGAACTGTGACCTCCTGGTTCATAGGTCAACATCACTGAGCAACACCAGTCAGGCTGCACATAGTTTTAAAATTTATTTTAAAACATTATAGTTAAGATTGAGGTATCATTTAACCACCTTTTTTCATTCTTGATTTCGCCTCACCACTTCTTTCCTCCCTATCCGCAGAGGAAACCACTTATCTGTCAGTCAATGTATTAGTCAATGTATTATCTGTTTGGTTCTGTTTTTCTACACATTAATATGCACTCCCATAGAAATACATAATGTCATTTGTGGCTTATGTTTGGTTAATGGTTATTATCTGTATTATTTTGCAATCTGCTTTTATATTTGAAACCATATTCATTTAATACAAATATATATTGCATATTTTCACTGACCCGTGGTACTGGATATCAGAGCTTCCCAAACTTTAGGAAGCCTAAGAATTCACCAGGCTTGGTAAAATACTGACTTCTGGGACCATCCTCCAGATAATTTTGATTTAGAGATCTGAGGTGAAGCCTAAGAATTAAACTTAAACAAACTCCCAGTGATGCCGATGCTGCCTACTGACCGCTGCATTTTGAGTAGCGCTGTTCTCTAATATGAACAGGTCACAAATCAAGTCATCTCCTGACTAATGAATATTTAGTGTGGTCAAATTTGTCCTCAATTAAAAACAATACAGTTCTTGTGCACAAGTGCAGTTTCTCTAAGTCAGCTATCAACCTTAGAGAATGAATTAAGAGTGGAATTTGCATTTTAATAGTTTTTGAAGAACAAAGCTGACCTAAGAAACAAATTCCTATTAATAAAATGTCAGGTCAGTGGTGATGAAAAAACTTTCTTATACCCTTCAAATTCATACCAGAATACCTCCTGAGAATCCTCGCACTAAGTTTTGTGCTTCACAGGCCCACTGAATGTTTTACGGCACAGATGAAGGGACTAAAGCACAGCTGAGTAGCCTGATTTACGAGCTCCTCTCACTCTTCCCCTTCCTGTATCATCCTTCTCTGAGCTGCGTAATTTGGGGAAATAAGAGTAAATTGCTGCAGTTTTCCATTGTGACTGGTTCTGATTCCAAGGACTCTAGCAACTGCCACTGAGGTCCTGAGTTGCACTAAAGCCACAAAACAGAAACAGCTCCAAAAACCACACTGGGCATACTATTCGTGCAAGTTATTTCTAATATGTCAAGCTATAACATATTATTATTTTATAGTTCTTCTTTTTGGTCATTTGTATTTCCAAACTTTTCTACACAAAATAAGTAATGACTCTGATCCTCTTTCCTTTTCCCTCTGGAAAAATAAAGCAGAGCATACAAAAATTTGGAATATGGAAAGTTAGACAGAAGTGATACCGTTTTTATCAGAGTTCAAAGTTTAGAAAAAGCTTAACATAGTAAAAAGTTAATTTGGACAGAATAAAAATAAATACATGCATGAAGACCTTGTTATGAACATATTTTAAGATACAATTTTCTAGCAACCCTCACCTGTCAGTTGATGTCGGGCTAGTAGCCACTGGTGTTTCTGCTGGCTGTTCTACAGGGTTCTCCTGTTTTGTGGCACTTACAGGTGCAGGTTCAGAAGATGCTGTCGCTGATGCTGGAGTGATAGATGTAGGTGTGGGAGTAGGAGTAGGAGTGGGAGTGGGAGTGGGAGTAGGAGTAGGAGTAGGAGTAGGAGTAAGAGTGGGAGTGGGAGTAGGAGTGGGAGCCAAAGCAGGGGTGGGGGTTGGGACCTGAGCCACAGCTGGTGCTGTGGAGGAACTAACTGTGGTAGTGGTGGTAAGATTTGATTGCTGCGTCGTTGTTGGTGCTGGTGTTGTCACTGCTTTGGGCTAAACATATTAAAAAGCAAAACAATGAATGATGATAAAATACAACATTATTACCTGATCTCTAATTAGAATGTATTGTTACAGAATGCTACAAACTCAATACTAATAGCAAACTTGTAACTTGAAAATAACTTTGTAAAGTGACCTAATAGTCAACATTAAGACTCTGAATCACTATGTTACTCTTTCAAAGCTCTTGACAGCATATATATATTATCTTAACTATCACTCTCAATTAGCTTTAGCCAACAGTTTCAGCCTTTATATTAAGTTAATATGAAAAAAAGTCAGTATTAAAACGGACAGGTATAAGTACAAAGAGGTTAACATAACTTCTGAGATCTGTATGTAGTTAAACAGAAAATGAAGGCCAGCCCGGACAGCATGGCTCCGTGGTTGAGCACTGATCTATGAACCAGGAGGTCATGGTTCGATTCCTGGTCAGGGCACATGCCTAGTTTGTGGGCTTGATCCCCAGTGTGGGGCCATGCAGGAGGCAGCCAATCAATGATTTTCTCTCATCATAGATGTTTCTATCTCCCTCTCCCTCTCCCTTCCTCTCTGAAACCAATAAAAATATATTTAAAAGAGAAAAAAAATAGAGAAAAATAAAGGCCAAATAAAGTTATATAACCACATGTTCCGAACTTTCTGAACTAGAAACAGAGCCATAATGATTCCCACAAAACAAAAAGCAATTATATGTGGGTAGAAATCATACTGTTACAAGTCTTTTTATTCTCCTAAAGGCCTATCAATGTCCACTACCTATTTTGCTCATAACTTTCCTAATGACAAAAGGTAACTGTTTTAATGGAAGATGGTAAAATTCAACACAATTTGCTTCAAGTATAAAACAACAAATTGTAAAGCAATTAGCTGACTTATGTCTTGCTCAATTTGAGCCAGTACAGAGTGCATTAGAAAAAAGGTGTCTAGGGGAATCTTGGAGGGAAAGAGAGGGAGGGTGGTAATCAACCAAGGTCCTTGTATGCATATATGCATGGCCCACAGACACAGATGAGGCCATGCATATATGGGATGGTGAGGGCCCAGGGCAGGGAGTGGGCTAGAGGGGGTCAATGAGGGGAAAAGAAGGAATATGTAATACTTTCAACAATAAAGAATTATTTTTTAAAAAGTAGCTAGTGCAAAATAGGGAACTTGAAAAAATAGTAATAGCATTCATCACCTCCTTTTCCTATTCTAAGAGTCTTGTATTTTGCTCTGTAACTTTTTAAACTGCCGATTTAACATTGCAGATCATTAATGTTCTAAAACTCCAATCTAGATTAAAATGTAGTTTAAATAAATGCACTTTGGCCATTTAATATTTCCCTTAAGACCATTTGTTATCACTACAATGTTTTTACATACCATGCCCTCAAGGTCAGTATTGCCACAAACAGCAATTTAAGCTTCCTTCTAAACTAAACAGTACCAAACCAACCTTCCGGAAGCTTTTCTGCTTACTTTTTACTTTAATTGCTTTTTCCTGTCTCTTATTGGTAATGAGATCATTTCTCATTGCTTCCATAATGCCTAATTATATCAGTCTTTGCCTTCTCATAGCTAGCCTCTACTATTAACTTGAAAATAAAGCAAACACAAATGTCATTGGAATCCTATGTAAAACTAGAGGCCCGGTGCACACAATTTGCGCACGGTGGGGTGGTGGAGGGGGATTGAGGGTGTTCCTCAGCCCAGCCTGCACTCTCTCACATCTGTGACATCACTCTTGCAATCCAAGACCACTGGCTCCTAACAACTGGCCTGCTTAATCACCCCTAACCACTTGCCCGCCTGCCTGATACCCCTAACCGCCTCTGCCTGCCTGCCTGATTGCCCCTAACCACTCTGCCTGCCTGATTCCCCTAATGGCTCGCCTGCCTGCCTAATCACCCCTAACAGCCTCTGCCTTGGACCCCACGGCTTCATCCATAAGGTCATTCAGCAGTCTGGTCTAATTAGCATATTACGCTTTTGTTATCCTATACTAGAAGCCCTATGCACAAAATTCGTGCAAGAGTAGGCCCTAGCAGCCCCGGCTGTGTTTGGAAGGACTTCCGATGGTCGTTCTGCTGTTCGGTCAATTTGCACATTAACTTTTATTATTATCCTATCTAATAAAAGAGAAACATGCAAATTGACCATAACCCCGACACCCTTCCCATTGGCTAATCAGCAGGATATGCTAATGAACTGCCAACCAAGATGGCAGCCAGGCAGCTGAAGCGAACAGGCGGCTTGCTTGCTCCAGTGACGGAGGAAGCCAACGTTCCTGGCCTGCCGCTGCTGGCCTCTGAGCTGCACTCTAAGAAACAATGTTGCAATTATAGAAGCTAAACAAGCTCCAGAGACCTGCTTTCAGCCCTCAAAGCTGGAGCCAGCTCTCAGTTCCAGTGACAGCCATAGAAGATAAATAAATCCCAGAATAAATAAAAAAGAAAAAAAGGAGAGGCTGGGAGCTTAAGTTTCTCTCCAGCCTGAAAACGGCTCTCAGGCCCTCACCCAGACAGGCCAGGTACCCCAGTGGGGACCCCCACCCTGAAGGGGGTGTGACCAGCTGCAAACAGCCTTCAGCCCGTCAACCAGGCTGGCCAGGCACCCCAGTGGGGACCCCCACCCTGAAGGGGGTGTGACCAGCTGCAAACAGCCTTCAGCCCATCATCCAGGCTGGCCAGGCACCCAAGCGGGACCCCCACCCTGATCCGGGGCACTTTCAGGGCAAACTAGCCGGCCCCCACCCATGCACCAGGCCTCTATCCTATACCACCGGCAGGGCGGGACAGCGCGAGCTGCCATCCGGGCCCTATGTGCAGCCCTGGGCTGTGGGGCATAAGCCCCGCCCCCAGCTGGGACCCCTGTGTGCCACCTGAGCCCCCAGCTGGGACCCTATGACTATTGGAGAGAAGGAAAGTGCTGCTGGGCCCTGGGTTGCTGTGGTGATCCAGCCATCGGTAAGTAGAAAAGTGCAGCCTGTAGGCAGCCCCCAGCTGTGCCTGATCTGGGAGCAGGAAAGCAAGCCCGGCCCATGGGAAGCCCCAAACTTTGCCTGCTCCCCAGTTGCCATGGTGATCCGGGAGCAGGAAAGCAAGCCTGGTCTTAGGGCAGCCCCCAGCTGGGCCTGATCTGGGAGCAGGAAAGCAAGCCCAGCCTGCGGGCAGCCCCCAGCTGCGCCTTCTCCCCGGTCTCCATGGTGATCTGGGAGCAAGAAAGCAAGCCTGGCCTGCGGCCAGCCCCCAGCTGGGCCTGCTCCCCAGTCGCCATGGGGATCCGGGAGCAGGAGAGCAAGCCCGGCCTGCAGGCAGCTCCAAGCTGGGCCTGCTCCCCGGTTGCTATGGAGACCTCAGAGCGGGAAAGCCCGGCCTGTGGGCAGCCCCCAGCTGGGCCTGCTCCCCGGTCGCCATGGCAATCCGGGAGCAGGAAAGCCCAGCTTGCAAGCAGCACCCCCATCCTGGCCATAGCTCAAGGGAGAGTACAACATGCAGTGGAGGCCAGGAGCCTGAGAGATCAACACAGAGGGGCTCCTGCTCTAAGCCTCCATGGTGTGGCTGGGGGCAGGCCCCAGCAGACACACACACACACACACACACACACACACCCACAATTCCTGCTCTGAGCCTCCAATGTGGATGGGGGCAGACCCCCAGTGGGGACGGACACACACACACACACACACACACACACACACACACGGCAACTGCTTCGAGCCTACGTGGCGCAGCTGGGGGCAGGCCCTAGCAGGCAGGCAGACAGACACACACACACACACACACACACACACACGACGCCTGCTCCAAGCCTCTGCTGCCAGACTGTGGCCATCAGTAGGACATCCACTGAGGGCTCCCGGACTGTGAGAGGGGCAGGCTGGGCTGAGGGAACCCCACTCCCTAGTGCACGAATCTTGTGCACTGGGCCTCTAGTAGATAATAAAAGGCCAGAGGCGTCATGACCAAAACGACCAGAGATCAGACCACCATGGCCCCTTGCAGGCTGGCCACACCCCCAAGCAAGTGGTTAGGGCCAATCAGGCAGGCAGATAGAGTGGTTAGGGGTGATCAGGTAGGCAGGCGAGCAGTTAGGGGTAATCAGGTAGGCAGACAGGCCCTCGCAGGGCTAGCCCTGACCCCCAGCAAAGAAAGAGGGAGGTCCAGGCCAGCCAAGCCATTGCACCCCATTCTGTCGCCTGCAGAGGGAGGCCACTGGTGGCAGGGAAGGGGGGGCAGCAGTGCACATATGGCAAGCAATGGCAGCGGCGGGGGTGGGGATGGGTCCAGCTGTCTGCAGCCTGGGGAAGGAAAGCCCCAATAGGCCCTGATCCCAGGCCAGGCCTACGGGCCCTATCTGAGGGGTCCCAGATTGTGAGAGGGTGCAGGCTGGGCTGAGGGACCCCGCCGAGTGCACGAATTTTCATGCACCGGGCCTCTAATTATAGATAAGAACAGACTAGGCTCCAAGCAGCTATTCTTCAAATGCATGCATGTATTCTGAACCTATCCTGCTAATCCTTAATTATATTCTAATAGTCAAGATTACTATAATACTAACGGTAATAAGACTGATAACGAATACATATCCAATGTGTTCCCACCACAATTTCCATATGGACTATATATGATAAAACTAGGTGAGATAATGGAATATTATTCAGCCCTAAAAAGGACGGCAAAGCTACAACACGAACTGAAATAAGTCAGTTACTAAAAGAACAATACTGTATGATTCAACTTACATTAAGTATGCAGAGGTGGAGGGCAGGTATGGACAGAAAGTTACTATTTAATGGGTACAGTTTCAGCTTGGGAAGATGAAAAAAGTTCTGGAAACTGATGGTGGTGATGGTTGCACAATGTGAAAGTACTTAATGATACTGGACCATACACTTAAAAATGGTTAAATTGGTAAATTTTGGGCTATGTATATTTTATCATACTTTTTTAAACACTAGATGAGACAAAGTTTCCTCATGTGATTTCTTTCTTTGTATTTAAAGTTTAACATTTAATGAATAAGTACTTGAACACTGCAAAATTAATATGGTTCTTGATGGTTTAAAAAATTTTCAAGTCGCCGAAACTGGTTTGGCTCAGTGGATGGAGCGTCGGCCTGCGGACTGAAAGGTCCCGGGTTCGATTCCAGTCAGGGGCATGTGCCTGGGTTGCGGGCACATCCCCAGTGGGAGATGTGCAGGAGGCGGCTGATCGATGTTTCTCGCTCATCGATGTTTCTGACTCTCTATCTCTCTCCCTTCCTCTCTGTAAAAAATCAATAAAATATATTTAAAAAAAAAAAAAAATTTTCAAGTCCAATTCATATAAACTGTTACTTAGTACAAAAGTATTTAGTCAAATTTTAGTTGTTGAACTCTATTTCCTAGTGTATATATCAATTATTTTGTGACTTTAAAACCCATATTTAGGCCTGGCTGGCTGACCTAGTTGGTTGGAGCGTTATCTCATACACCAAAAAGGTTGTGGATTCTGCCCTAGCTGGTTTGGCTCAGTGGATAGAGCATCAGCCTGGGGAATGAAGGGTCCCGGGTTTGATTCCAGTCAAGGGCATATGCCTGGGTTGTGGGCTCAATCCCCAGTAGGAGGTGTGCAGGAGGCAACCAATCAATGATTCTCTCTCATCATTGATGTTTCTCTCTCTCCCTCCCTCTCACTTCCTCTCTGAAATCAATAAAAATATATTAAAAAAAAAAAAAAAAAGGTTGTGGGTTCAATCCCCAACTAGGGCATGTACAGGAGGCACCGATCAATGTTCCTCTCCCATATTGATGTTTCTCTCTCTCTCCCCTCCTCCTCCCTCCCTTCCACTCTCTCTAAAATAATAATAATAAAGTTAAAAAAAAACAAACAGAGTTAAGTGCACACTACTATGGATGAACATAACTGTATTCACTCAAAGGTATAATGGCTGCACTTGGCATCATCATTATTTAAAAACTCACATACACGAAGATATAAAGAATAAGGCTTAAACTTACTTTTGTCACCATAACCACCACAAAGTTTTTCTCATCAATTTTATATTCTTTTAGAGCAGTATCATCATTGAGGATTTTACCTGGTATATTAAAAAAAAAAAAAGTTATTTAAGGCACAGTAACCTTTGTCATAGATATACCTGAAGTTAAAACAATCATCAACATCAATTCTATCAATTAAAATACTTTCCCAAAAGAAAAACATTAACTAATCAGCCAAGATGAGGATAAATATAAATGGAAACACAATTAAACACAGTTAAGAAGGCATAAGCATTTAACTAAAAGAAATCAAACACATATATAGTATATAGATATCCCAAGCAATTCTTAAAAATTACTTATAATAAAAATACTTGATGGTTAAGGAAATATTAACAAGGTCCCAAGAAAAAAAATTATAAAGACAAGCAAAATTTAATATTCAGATTGCACAAGGATTCCTCCTGGGGAACAACTTATAATCCTTCTTCCTGGAGGAAGGAGAAAAGAACCAACTTCCTGATCCCACAAATACTTGATGCCTGGCAAGACAGAAATGTTCCAATGCTATAAAAGTGATACTCATAATAAAAAATACTTCTGCTCTCACCGGTTTGGCTCAATGGACAGAGCATCGGCCTGCAGAGTGAAGGGACCGGAGTTCAATTCCAGTCAAGGGCACATGCCCGGGTTGCGACTCGTTTACCGGTCGGGACATGTAGGAGGCAGCCAATCAATGATTCTCTCTGATCATTGATGTTTCTCTCTCTCTCCCTTCCTCTCTGAAATCAATATATATCAATACACACACACACACACACACGCATATATATATTTTAAAGTACTTCATAAAATGATTTAGTATACAGAAATGACAAGATGATATAGAGCTGGGTAAGACACAAAGAAGTACATAAGACTTCGATGGGCAAGAGTGGCAGGGGCGGGGAGTCAATCGGGGGAAAAAGAAGACATATTAAATACTTAAAAAAAAAAAGACTTCAGTAATGCTAAAGGTCAAACGTTAGGTCAAGATTCCTTCAGGTTTCCTTTTCCTTGAACTTGTTTTCCATTTTTAAAAAGTTCTTGAATAAAAGGCTACAGATACTAAAACCAAAAAGAATAATCTCTCTACTCTATGGAACTGAGAAAAGAGACCAAGACTAGGAACCAGAAATTATAGTTTTATGTCTGCCATCAACAACCTGCCTCTTTAGGCTGCTGTTTCCTAATTTTGGGGTTAGTGTTTTTTTTTTAAACTATCTCAGTTAAGAAAATACTACGAAATCCCTATCTAGAAAGAGATAAGAATCCATGGGCATCTAAGACCTACCTTACTGAAATCTACAATGATGATGTTATGCTAATTTTGAAGAATAAGGAAAAGCATTTTCTCCACAAAAGTCAAATATCAAGTCTATTTTTAAAATACATTTTCCTGGTTACTATAAGGCTAGTAGTGCAATTTCTTTTCTAAAATTAAAAGAATATCACAGGAGGAAGAAAATAGCACATTAATTTCAATGTTCAATCCATACCTGCATAAATTAACTTCTGACCAGCTACAGGAAAGGCATCTTTCCCCTTTTCAGATTCAATCTTCTCTTTCAGTGCTTTCACCTGTAGTAAAAATAAAGATTTTTGTTTTGGAAAGTCTAAACAACAAATGACAACCCAGAATCTGAATAAGTGATGCAAGAAAAAATTTTTATATACATAATGCTTCAAAAAACTTAATGATCATACCTTTACAATATTTTATCAAAAGACCGATTAAGTTAAATAACACATATTTGTTTCCACACTTTTTTCTAGAAAGAAAGAAGTGATGCAACATTTGCAACTATGACTGCTTGGTGAAAATCACGAATTACAGACCACACATGTTACTATGAGTGACTCCAGTACTCAGAACAGTAGTACACAGTGGTTAAGCACATAGTAGGTATTCAGTTATTACTTGCTGAATGGGTAAATTAATGTAGCATAAAAATGTTTAGAAAAAAATAAAAAATAAATGTATGAAACAAAAAATAAAAGAAACAAGCAGGAATCTCATTCTTTGACAAGTCAGGATGAGTAGGCAACTAAGATTTAAAGGAGATTATATATATATATATATATATATATATTTATTTTCTACCCAATAAAAACTGTATTTTCATTTCTAGGACCCATATAGAATATATCTTTTAACAATTTGTTTTTTTAAAAAAATATTTTTGTTGATTTCAGAGAGGAAAGGAGAGGGAGAGAGAGATAGAAACATCAATGATGACAGAGAATCAGTAATTGGCTACCTCCTGCTGGGGATTGTGCTGGCAACCAGGGGCATGTGCCCTGGCCTGGATCAAACCATGACCTCCTGGATCATAGGTTGATACTCAACCACTGAGCGACAATGGTTGGGCTCTTTTAACAGTTTAGTCCATAAAGACTATTTCATTGTTTTCAAAAGCCTAAATAAGTAATGACCACTCTCTAGCTTTGCTTATTAAAAAAAAAGGATTAGGAAGAGAGAGGAAAAAATAAAAACAAACCTTGCAAATAAAGCAGGACAAAGACAACAAAACAATTTCAACCATTTACTAATAAGTGACATTTGCTGCAAAGAAATAAAAATTGTGATTAAAGAATATTAAGAAGATAACAATGAAAACTCTATACACATCAATACCTATATGATTTGGCTAAGAAGGTAATCAGACTAACACTTAAAAGTGTTTATTATTAAACAAAGAAGGAAAATTAATAAGCTAAGCACACAATTCAAATAGAGTAAGATAAATACTAAAAGGAAAAATGCAAGTCAAAGAAATTAATTAAGAAAAGTGAAATGGTAGAAAAAGGTTCTTGTGCCAACAGAAAAATAAACAAATGACAGGGGCAGGCAAATCACAATTACAGTAAAAAAAAAAAAAGTAATGTATTTTAATAAACACTGCCTTTATAATTATTCAAAGTGTGTATATACATTTTTGGGGAATATATATATATATCTATATATATATGTATGTATGTATATATATATATATATATATTTTTTTTTTTTTTGGGGGGGGGGGAAGGATATATTAGTAACTCTTTGCCTTGATATCACAGTTGCAGCACAGAAGCTTCATCTGTGGTACCAGCAAGTCCAGCACTTACAGGGCAGCCAAAAGAGTATCTTTCTTCTTTTTCTTTTTAATATATGAACCTGGGCATGTGCCCTGACTGGGAATCAAACCAGTGACCTCTTGGTTCCTGGGTCAAGGCTCAACCTATGAGCAACACAAGCTGTGACAAAAACATGGATTTTAATGTCAGACCTATTGAACAATTCTTGGTATTAAGTGTGAAGAGATACATTCTCAGAATGAGAGTATCAAATGATAAAGGGCAATATGCCAAAATGCCTCAACTCTTTTTATGGGGGGGGGGGGGGCGTGGGGGATTTGACGCAGCAATATCACTTTAGGTAATGCATCAAAGAAAATAATTAAACTATGACTTTGGAACCGGGTTCACTGACCTGTCCAAAATTCTGGCATTGTTCCTTAACCTCAACACAATGATCTTTACTTTAATCCACTTAAGTCATCTAGTAGTCACAGGACACAGGCTGAATCTTGTTATTCCCAAACTTTTCCATTTTTGAAATTTTAAGTACCAATGCCATATTCCTACTACCTCTCTCAGAACTGTTCACTACACCTGGTCTTGTACCTCATTAGGACTTTGGTCCCTAGATCGTCTACTTCCATTTTTATCTTTACTGTTAGCTCTACTCAGCTTAGACAACAATGCCACTGCTTCTATCACTTTCTTCTCTACCACACACTTTGTCTTTCTGCTGCTCCTGCAAGGCAAAATTTCACACAAAATTTGACACAATTAAATCATAAGTACTCAACATAAAATTATTTCAAGCACTCTGTGGTGTCAGTCTCCTCTCTCTCACTTAGGTAACGAATCTTACCATTAACTACCTGACTGCCAATCCACATTTCTATCCAGTCTTCTAAATGCCACTGGTGAAAATGAATGATATCCTCCCTCCTTCTATTCTCCTAGTTAGCCCTCTCTTCCATTCTCCAAGAGGTATTTCAAAGCTGTAGTCTCCTCTAAATCTGATTCCCAACACAACCCACCCCATGAGCATCTTCTACTTCATTCAAAACATAGAGATATCAGAGGAACTCACCCTTAGCTTTCTGGCACCAAATGGCACTTCTTTTTTTGCATCTCGAATCTCCTTCCCACCTAGTGGTCCCGGGTTCTTCTTCCTATGTTCCCCAGTACCTTGCTAAAGTCATTATGTTTCCTACCCTCCCCCACCTTGATTTTTAACTTCTCCATCAAAGCCAGTTCATTTCCATTCACATTTATTTTTTAATACATTTTTTATTGATTTCAGATAGGGAGAGGGAGAGATAGAAACTCCATGATGAGAGAGAATCATGGATCAGCTGCCTCCTGCACACCCCCACTGGGGATGTGCCCACAACCCAGGCATGTACCCTTTACCGGAATCGAACCCGGGACCCTTCAGTCCGCAGGCCAACGCTCTATCCGCTGAGCCAAACCAGGTAGGTCTCCATTCACATTTAAACAGACCCAAATCTCTATCATCTTAAAAACCAAACAAGCAAACAATAAATTCACAACCCCCTGTCTCTGTTAGCTACACTCTCCTTCCCTGTCTCAAGCATGTTTCAAAAATTTAACTACATGCATTGTCTTCATTTACGGTAACTCCACACCTATTTCTCCTGTGCAATACAGTGCTGATAAACAGATGCATGAACTTTGTTCTCATTTTGTTGCTTATTTTCTCTAGTAGTGCCTACTCCCACAATTCCGTTTAGACTGCACTTACCAGTATCACTGATTTCAGCAATCATAATCAGACATTTCTTAGTCCTTCCCTATTTTACTTGACCTTCTGTCACATTTGACATTAACCATCTTCTTTCACACTGTCTTCCTTTGGCTTCCACAGCACCATACTCTTCTGGTTTTCCTCCTATTTATTTACTCCTTTGTGAAATCCTCTTCCTTAGCCAGCCCTTTAAGGCTGCCTTTTCTCTTATTCCAGGATAATCTATCCCATCTACTCCTAGTTTTAAAACCATCCAGAGGTTAGCTGTATCTTGCCTAAGTCTTCCCTAACCCAATAAAATTGAGCACACTTCGGAACCGCTTATAAAATTCTTCTTTGTAGATGTTGCAAAGGGATAGGTAGCAACTGTGCACATGGTTTCTCTTGGGAAGGTTATGGCCAGCAACATATGCAGTTATGACTCCTGTAACTGTGTTGAGCCTGTGTCAATGCTCCTCTTCCAGTAAGTCATCTCAATGGATGGATCAAAAACTGAGCTCCACATTCCCAGTAAATAACTAGGGCTACTTTATCAAAGGGTAATAAGCAAGCAGGGACTAAACTTTCATTTTGCTACTTATCCCCTCCTAAAGAATGGGAGTTTATCACTAACACAACTAGAAACAAAACATGGTTAACACTCAAGAAATCAAACTTTTTTTTTCTAGCCACATACTTCTCTTATGAAATTGTACACTCTGAAAGAAAAGCATACTTGATATCTAATATTAAACATAGTTGACATGGCTTCCCGCCCCCTCACCCAAGAGGGAGACAATTATAATACAGGTATACATCATTTCCATGTGCTTTTACTTTATTGTGCTTCATAGATGTTGCATTTTTTAATGAACTGAAGGCAAGATCCCCCCGCACCCCTGCCCAAATATTACAACTCACTTTATTGTGGTGGTCTGGAACCGAATCAGCAGTATCTCTGAGTTATGCCTGTAGTCTATTAAGAAGTGCTAGTCCAAAAGCTGATAGGCTGTCTTTTTTATCCCATTCTCTTGTGAGGTAGTTTTCTCTTGCTTCTTCCATATTCCTCACATTAAATAATTTACCCAGTGGTTCCAACTTACCATATAACTATTTTCCAATGTGAACACTACATTGCATCCCATGGCACTACCCTAGTTCAGGCCAACAACCATTCAAAGTAGTCATTTTCATTGAACAAATTTAAATTTTATGTTTCAGATATCAAAATGTCTTATAGTAGTATGACATTTTGCATGTCTGTCTTCTTACATAGTTTTGCATAAGACTTCTAAGACTACTGCTTACTGATTAGGTCAACAATTAAATATTTATAATAACTCAGCTTCCTCAATATTATTTTCTTTATTACTGTTGTAACTATGTTGTTTCTTATTACTGTTATAACTGTACATAGGAAAAAGTTATGCAAGCTGCCCCCAAACATCCCAGCTAAATGACTAACAGGTCATAGGGGCTATGTGCTTACCATATGCCAAGCGGTACACAAAGAGCTTCACAATATTTAACTCATTTAACCTGTGGTACATCTCTATTTGAATCCCAGCTAGTTACTCATGTGGAAGTTGGTATTTGTAAACAAATACCATTGAATACTGCTACAGGCATTTTTGAGGCAATATGCAAGCCTTTGATCCAATAATTCCCTACCTAGAAATCAATGCTAGAGATGCTCACACAAGTATTTCAAAAATATATGAACAAAATATGGCACTACATTTCTGTAGGTAATACTGAAGATAACCCAAATATCCAT